TCTGCACCCTATTTTAGATACTGCTGATTCTTGAACTTTCATATCTGACAACAGAATGGCTGCAGTTGAAAGCGGCAACACGAAGTCGAAATTTGAGGACAAAGATATGGGGATCGATTCGAACATTCGTATGTAAACTCCTATCCCAATGTCATATCCTGGGTCAATTTGACCAGGCTTCTAGTCCATCCATCAACTCAGCTTACCTGCTTGTCAGAAAATCGTAGCTCCATCAGTAACGGCCACTCCATACGAGAAGGTGACAATCACCAATTTGTCCACCATGCTAGCGATAGTGTAGTGAAAAAGGATTTGGGGTGGATAGGAATTCTGGCCGCTGGTTTCAATGTCAGCAACAGCTGGCTTGTCGTGGCGGCCACTCTCACAATCTCACTTGCCTATGGCCCCATGGTCACGATCTGGGGTGTGATTGTTGTCACGTTGATCTATGCTTGCATTGGCCTGACTCTGGCGGAACTCATCTCGGCATACCCAACCACTGGCGGCCAGTACCATTGGACTTCGATCCTGGCTCCGAACAGCATCAAAAACATCGCTGTAAGATCAAAAGCTATGTTCCGCATTTGACACCTGCAATAACTGACCTGGGCCGATAAGAGCTATTATTGTGGCTTCATCAGCTGGTTCTCATGGCTGGCGATGTCTGCATCCAGTATGGGAGCCATATCATTGTGTGTATTCGCCTTGATATTCAATTCTCACGCGGACTTTGAGCCAAAGCCATGGCAAAGCTTCATTCTATATGAAGCCGTCAATGTCTTAAGTCTTCTCTTCAACCTGTTTGGAAAGAAGATTATCTCTCCTTTTTATACATTTGGCTGTCAGTCATCTTGCCATCATTTCTCTCATCAAACGTTCTGCCACTGACAACTGCTTCCTTCTAGTTATTCTAAGCTTAGCAGCCTTCTTGGTGTTCATGATCACAAGCTTGACCATGCAGAAGACGAAACAAGATAGCAAGACATTATGGACAAGCTACTCCGACTTTTCAGGCTGGGCACCTGGAGTGCAATTCCTCATAGCGCTAGCAGCCCCTGTTGTTGCATTCTGCCCTGTTGATGGGGCTGTTCACCTCGTGGAAGAAGTGAACAACGCATCGCGAGTAGTCCCAAGAACTGTGATTACTGCGTTGGTCATTTCTTTTGTTACCTCACTGGCGTTTGTCCTCTCTGTTCTCTATTGTGTCTCTGATTTCGATAGTGTAATGGCCACACCATCCGGGTTTCCCCTTTTCGAGATCTGGCATCAGGCAACATCAACACTTACTGTGCCGGTCGTGTTCACCGTTGTTACCATTATACTTCTACCAATAGGGAGTATTGCATGCTGTCAAGTTGCATCCATGATGACCTTGAGCCTGGGCCGAGACGGTGCCTTTCTCTTCAGCCGTTATCTCTCTCAAGTACATGCAGGACTCAATGTCCCTGTCTGGGGGCTGCTGATGAACTTCACGGTTATTTTCTTGATTGGGATTCTTTACTTATTTTCGGCTTTAGGTGAGACCTTTCCTTGATTTGTTGGATTATATGTGGCGGCTTTCTTGTGTCGATTCGTGTGAACATCAGACTGACAATCGGCATCAGCTTTCAACTCCATTGTCGGAGTTGCGGTTATCTTACAGCAAATCACCATGGCTGTGCCAGCTGCGCTTCTCTTGTACCGCAGACGTTCGGAATCAGTACTACCACTCACCAGGTCGTTCCGGCTGCCCCAATGGCTGGGATGGTTTTGCAACATTGTTACAGTTGCCTTTACCGTTATAACAACGACGTTCTTTCAGTTTCCTGCGGCGACTAACCCAGATAGTAATACAATGAGTGAGTGACTTATCCTAACAGTCTCACCCATTCGCTAACAAGTATTCCACTCGACAGATTATGCTTGTGTAGTGGTAGGAGGTGCTTTATTGGTGGCCACCATCAACTGGATCCTGCTTGCGAGATCCCGTTATGATGGTCCAACACTGGTCAAGTTTCATGCCTGAGTTATCACTTGTAGGGTTGTACCAGAAAGCTGGAACGCTAAGGCTGCCAATGCGGCGACGGATAATTCTATTCACTCGCGATCCTTACAAGGGTAGGATGAGCGTTCAGTCGAAGGAAATGTATGTTACTGGGTACTCATCAGAAAGCAGCTTAAACTAGAATGCTATCACCTGAGGTCGTCGTGTTCATTACGTATTATTGTTACTGAAGAATTATTATCATTGCATCAATGGACTCTAAGCGACTTGAGTCTTCTTCGCCAATAAGTCTGCAGCTGATTCCGTCGATTTTTAAAGAGAAAAAGCATAGAAAGCTTTCTGTGCCCGTTGAAACTACGCGTCTGACACCCGACCTTTCCCTTGGTATACCCTTATATAAACACGCATAATAGACGCTACGATTCATCCGAAATACATCAAGCCCTGATAAGCCGAAGCCAGACGGCCAGAGCTAGCACGCCTACAGCCCCCAAGATCCAAGGCTGAGCGACACGATAAGCGGTCCAGACAATGTCCTTCACCTCTTCTATCTGCCTCGCCCGTTGCTCAGCTTTGTCATTAACCCTGGGAAACGGCACGTCAGGCACATCTTTCCCAAGGAAGTCACATAACGGACCCCAGCCATCTCCTAATTGGAACTCTAGTCTCCTTTCCGACGGCACCAATGTTCTGATCCTCTCGTAGTATGCATCATACGTTTCCCTGGCGTGCGCCTCAATCTCCGCAGCGTTCCGCGCATGGAATGTCCCAAGTATCATCTTCTGCATCGCCTTGGAGCCTCTCAAACCAGTCAGAGCTAAGAATGGTGCAAATAATACTTGTCCCACAGGATGGAACAACCCATCGACTATTCCTCCTTTGAAGCTTGACCACCATTGATCGAAGTCCCGTTGCACGATTACAACCTTCGCATCTGGGTACGCCTGAATCAACTGGTCGGCGAAGAATGATCCGACGTCCGTAATGGCATCGTACTCGCCGAATAGCTTGTCCCAGTCATTCCTAGTAAACCGTGGCACCTGCTTACGGGCTCCTGGCGCTTCCGGCCAGGTGCTCTCGGCGGCCTTTTCCAACAAAGCCCATTGGACCCAACCACCGTGATCAGGAATCTCGGGCAAATTGAAGCCATGGTGGGCGCGAATATCGAGTATATCGTAGGCTCGCGCCATGGATAGAGTGCCCGTTCGCACAAGGCCCGCATTGATCACGCTCGGCGGACCGTGTTTGCGAGAGGGGACCATTGCTTTCGTATACATCTTAGGCTGCATTGTTTGATAAATTTGAGCTCTTTGATCGATCACTGTTGTGGGTGCGGAAACAAGGTTCGCAAGCCAAGAATGGCTGCTGCCCACGATAAGCAATCACGGTAAAAATTTCGGGCCGTTGAATCCTTCCTGGATCCTGAGGCTAAGCACTTAGTTAACATGATGGCTGACGGGCTGCAAAGAAGACTTGCTCATAGAACACTCGAAATGCAGAGAATTCGCTCGTGAGAGACGAATAACAGAAGATGTAATTGGGAACGAACCTCGATGGGAAAGCATCGTTGGCCACTAAGTCTCAAGCCTTGCTAGCATGGTAGTGAGTAGGCGGCCCGGGCGAGGAAGTTGCCCACAGCTAGAGCATTGACCATTTAGCACTCGAGCTAACTACCAGCGTATTAGCATCCACCCCAACATCAAGATATCGTCGTTCATGGGGAAATTTGGACGATTTATCACCGTACTCAGTGGCCTTTATCAAGGCTGATTTCTTCCGGCTTATGCAAGCTTGCCCAAGACTAGCATTCTTTTTGACTCTTTTCACCGGGAATCACCTCTACAAGTCACGTCGGTCAATGCTACCGAGATTATACGTATCATCATCTAGAGCCCCCAAGAAACAGCGTAAACCTGTCACTACCATTTTCTCGAAGTAAATAATCATCCACCGCCGTTCTAGGTAATCTGTTGGCTTCCCCGCACGTTCAGTGCAGGCTAAGCTTGCCCAGGTGGAGTTTCAAGTCTTGGCTGTTTGATTACCCCAGACTCAATATATGGGAAGCCGAACATACCAGAAAGATTTTCATTCTCATAGCTGAAAGAGGTTTGACGTCGCTTATTAGTGCTGCCCAGCCGCGAAGACCTGTACCGATTCTTGGACAAGTTCTTGTACCCGCAAATATTCCACCTATTACAATGCCATACAGCTCAACAATAGCAGAAGTGTGTCCCATGACTTCGTCGAGTTGTTGTGCCGATGCAAATAACTGTTTTAATGAGACATTCTTATTCAAATAAGCAGCATCGACAGCTGCATTGTTTCCAATGGGCCTGAATCTGCATACACAAGCCCGTGACATTTGTCCATCATGCACTTTAGAGGACTAACATGCTTGGCGGTTGCCGCTGGCATTCTCTCGTCAACAACCGCGACTCCTGATCCAGATATCCCCAAACGTCCGTATCTCGAGCCTAGCCCTTACAATTCAGGGAAGGACCTGCCATGCTCGCCGCCCCGCGATGAAGGTCGATATTGTTTCGTTAAGCCTGACTGCTCGCATAAGCGTGACGATGCGCCGCGCATTCTGAAGGCATTTCAAAGGTGTAACGATGGCGGCACAGTTGTGCTTGACAAATCATACCTAATTAGCTCGCCTCTGGATTTGACTTTCTTGAAACATATCGACGTGGTCGTCACAGGAGAAATTCACTTTAACGATGACGATGTCTACTATTGGGCCGAGCATAGCTTTAAATACGCCTTTCAAAATCAGTCCGTGTACTGGAAGTGGGGAGGCGAGGATGTTAATATTTATGGCGATCTAAGTAATGGGAAATCTCTTATAGATGGCCACGGGCAGCTGTTCTGGGAGGAAGGCAGAGCCAATAAGACGGTAAGATCAAGATCTGCGGAGAAAGTTAGCACTGAAGCTGATGATGAATTGTTACGGTTTTTGCGACCCATGTTATTTGCCTTTGATGGAATGAAAGGGGCAACTATGTCAAATCTTCGCATGCGCAATCCCCCTCACGTGAGTTGTCCCTAACACTGAGATTCCTGAAATAAATAGATTCGGAAACCGACCAATCTCACGGCACCTATCTCCATATATGGGACGTATAAATAATTGATTCATGCTAGTGGTTCAATATCATTGCCAACAGCTCCGATATACTTGTTAGCAACATGGAGCTGAAAGCTGCAGTATGCAACTAATTCATACTCTGTCTGCGGAGAGCTATATGTCTGATGGATTCTAGAGCATCAATGATATCAAGGTGGCCAACTCGGACGGATGGGATACGTATCGTTCGGATCGCGTTGTGATTCAGGACTCGGTCATAGTAAACACTGATGGTGAGCCGAACGAGTCTCATACGCCTTCAATTTTCAATTCCAGCTCTTCTATCTCTTTGCTTTGATGTATGAGAGTACTGATATCATGCCCAATAGACTGCGTCTCTTTTAAGCCCAACAGTACCAATGTCGTGGTTCAAAATCTTGACTGTACCGGTTCTCATGGAATCAGTGTTGGTTCGTTGGGCCAATATAAAGGCGAGGTACGTACACCAACAATCCCTATCGCTATCAAGCACCAGCCATTGATCCATTTTTAGACCGATATTGTCGAAAATCTGTACATATACAATATCTCGATGACAAATGCAAGTGACGGCGCCCGCATCAAGGTCTGGCCTGGCATTGAGACTGCCTTTCAGACGCTGCTCAATGGTGGTGGTGGGCTTGGCCACGTGCGAAATGTGACTTACGATAACTTTCACAATATCAACAACGACAATGCCATCACAATCACGCAGTGCTATGGTCAGAGCAACCAGACACTTTGTAGGGAGTATCCGGTAAGTTTCGTCGGTCTGAAAGCCTCTCGGAATGATACATTGACGACTTCTTCATTTCAGGCAAACTTAACTCTTGAGGATATCACGATCAAGAACATGTATGGTGTTACATCTTCTAAGAACGATCCGCGAGCTGGAAGCTTGGTTTGCAGTGCATCAGACGTGAGTCAAATTACATAACTAATGTTCGCTATTTGGAAAACTGGTCTGACATGCGCGGGATGAATTTAGCGATGCAGCAACATAGTAGCCGAAAATATCACTGTCACTGTACCAAGTGGAGAGCCACCAGTGTACGAATGCAGAAACCTTGACGATGGATCTCTGGATATAACCTGTGTGACAAGTGAAGACGATGATAGAGATACTACGAATGGGTGAGGTCGAATGTAAATACAAAGCTCAAATAAACATCTTCAAACTTTAGACTCGCAGACGCTCGGATGCTTCATTCAATCGCAATATACCAACTCAATTCTTTTTTCTATCACGGATTGAATTGTCACTCACTTCGCCTCTACCTATGCTTATACTTTAGTCACGCCGATGTGGCTCAAGGTTGATCCCAACTCTCCGGCTGAGCCGGTGATCGGAGGGTCGCCAATGCCGTGCCCGTTCAAATAAGTTAGTGTCGCCCGCCATGCTTGGGGACCGATCTCCGGACGAACCGGTGTTCAAAAGCGCCAGACCTCCCATCTCCTGCCCCGAACCTTTGTCAGTTCATGGTTCTGAAGAGTTTTTTTCTTTTGTGCTCTCCTGATCATTGTCGAATCACAGGGTATTATGAAGCGCAACTCCGGACATGCCGCCTACGGAACGGCGTGTGCGAATTGTTCCCGACTGAAATGCAGATGCGTCATTCCGAACGCAGGTGGCGCATGCGAAAGGTCGTCCCAGGGCTGTCTTGCATAGGTCCATATTCAAGCTAACCGACTTCAGGTGTCGTCGCCTCGGTAAAGATTGTCTCCCTCTGACCATGCAGCGGACACGCACTTCAAAAAAGGGGGCTACCTCAAGAAACCAATTGGAAGCGAAAATCGATGGATTGGTATCATTACTTACATCTAGCCGCAGTCAGCCTGTCGACGTCGCCGAGGGTGACATCTTGTCCACAAGGGATGAACAATATACCAAAAGCGACTGCCGGCAACCTGGAGATACAGTGATGGTGGCGTCTTCCTTGGAATGTGGCGCGGACCACCCAGATGAGATTTTCAGAGACTTCTGTGACCTGAAACTACCACAGTTCCCTTTCATTCACATTCCTGATCAAACATCTGTTACCGATCTCTCTTCAGGCAGGCCATTTCTCTGGCTTTGCATAGTTGCTGTATCTGAGAAGTCTACATCAAAGCAAAGTGAGTTGTACTCTCAAATACGTAATATACTGGGCAAGAGCATGGTTGCAGATTTAGAGAGGAATCTAGACCAACTACACGGACTACTTGTCTGCCTTGCATGGTAGGTCCTGTACCTCGCGATCCAATGGGCGAAGTCTCTTACAACTTGAACGCAACAGGGGAAATCTACAGGTCAATCGCCGCCCGTTTCTTACCTTATTCACGCAACTCGCAATTTCCGTGGTGTTTGACCTCGGCCTCAATAAAGCGCCGCCAGATAGGCCGGATGAAAGGTCAAAGTACAGGTTCCATAGATGTTGGGTTCCCCATAAGAGAACTATAGAGGAGCGGCGTGCTGTTCTCGCATGCTTTTTCATGAGTTCTGTGTATGAAACATAAGTACAGTGACTGATTCATGGCTGACAATCCATTAGCCTGTCGAGTTATCTCAAGAGAATTGACACTCTTTCTTGGACTTCGCACATGACTGAGTGTCTGGGCGAGCTGGAGGAATCTGAGACTTATGCCGGCGACAAGACTCTTGTGGCACTAGTCAGGGTCCAACTGATCGTGGAGAAAGTCCGATCGTCTCCGTGGCAGGAGGCGGGTTTACAGGCGGCCGCAATGGAACGGGTTGCACCACCGACTTCGTACGCAAGGATATTACGAACAGAACTTAAAAGTACAAGGCAACTAATTCCACCGAATTTAAGTGGCAATGGTAAGAGCAAGTTCAATCTCATATCATGTGAAAGGTTTATGTAATCCGCCAGAAGTCACTGATGTCAGTACCTAGGACTGCTTTTGTGTTATATCCATTCAACAGAGCTGGCGATCTACGACTTCTCTCTACCAAGTAACGAGACTCTCGCTCACCGTCAAAATTTTGATCTACTAGAAAGCCGATATATTTGCTTAAGCGCGCTCGAATCCTATTTCGAGGTTTTCTTGACCTTGAGTCCAAGCCATTATACTGGCTTCACCACTCCAATGCTACTACAGGTGACCCACTGTTTGTACTGTCTATACAAGCTCATGTCAATCAACGATCCAGCTTGGGATAATGCTGCAATCATTAAAAAGGTTGACCTAATTGGGATCTGTCAGCAAATCGCCCAGACCTTCAAGGACGCCGCTGTTATTGCGGGCATCATATGTGATGGTCCGGAAGATGTTCTCATCAAGTTATCGACTGTCATCGACTCAGCCAAGTGTCATTGGGAGCCTAAACTCGCCGCTCAAGTGATAGGCCACGAGACTTCATGGAATGGACAAGATCTGTCGCCTATGCAGCTCGAGGACCTTACGGCGGCATCGTCCGAAGAAATATGGTTGACCGATCTGTTGGCTCCTATAGATTGGCTACAATGAACTTAAATTCATGGATGCGAGAGTAGATAGCCATTAAGTTTTAGTGATTAGAAGAAATCAAAATCTAAGATGGGGATATCATTGTGGGACCGGAGGTCGGTCAATCGTCAATCTCCGGTCCAAACGCCGTATATGAATTTCATATATAACATCCGTAACGGACTTTTCAATTTAAGGAGAACATTGTAACAACTATCAACGCAAAACTATCTAATATATTCGGATACTTAGTGGAAGAACAAAAATGGCCCAAAATCATGACGTAGCTACCGATATGGAGAGCTATCAGGACGGTCGGTCGACTGAAATCTCCCCAACGGAGAAACCGAAGGACGAAACCATCAAACGGGAACCGGAATACTTGACAGGCTTCAGATTAATAAGCCTTGTGGTATCTACGACTACAGTTGGGTTTCTTATGTTGCTTGATTCTTCGATTGTATCCACGGTAAGCGCGTTGTGACTGCCTGCTCACATGTTCGCGAATTGCAACTCACCACACTAGGCAATACCTCACTTGACCAGCGAATTCCATTCCCTTTTAGATGTTAGTTGGTACGGCGCGGCATATCAACTTGCAAAGTACGGCTGCAAACTTTGTTGCATGAGCGTAGTAGCTGTGCTAATGGAATTCTTAGCGCGTCTTTCCAGCCTTTAGCGGGAACATTCTACACACATCTGAACTCAAAGGTAGGTATCACAGCAATCATATTCGATAAAAAAAAGTCACTCACAAAGCCTTCTATTGGTAGTGGACCTTCATTGCCTTTATTGCCGTTTTCGAGCTCGGATCCTTACTTTGTGGCCTCGCTAACTCCTCGAATATGCTTATTGTTGGTCGTGCGGTTCAAGGACTCGGAGGCTCAGGACTACAAAATGGAATGTTCATAATCATGTCAGGTTGTGTTCCAATGGAGAAGAGAGCTGGTACGTAAATGACCCCAATACCTGTGACTGGGGCTAAGCGTTTCGTCAGCGTTGATGGGATTTGGAATGGGAGGTAAAGACCCATACACTTCCTTCTGAGTTGGAAATGATGATGTGCATATTCTAAACAGCTCATAGTATCGCAGATTGGCTTGGTTCTTGGACCAGTCATCGGAGGTGTTCTTACAGAGTATACAACCTGGCGATGGTGTGAGTTCATACGCCCTTTGCCAAAATCCAAGTCTGTTCAGCAATTGGTGATCGGCAGTACCTTGAATCTAACTTCTGGCTGATTGTGCTTACACCAGGCTTCTATATAAACCTTCCCATAGGTGGTGTTGCAGTTTTGTTGTTCCTCCTCTGTCATGTCCCCGAAAACAGGCCAGTCTCTACGGGACTCACAGCCTTTCGGACTCTACGACAGAAATTGGATGTCGTCGGCTTCGTTTTCTTTGCGGGGGCAGCAATTCAACTCCTTCTGGCTCTTCAATTTGGCGGCAACCAGCACTCTTGGAAAAGCTCACAAGTGATTGGTTTATTCTGTGGCTCCGCGGCAACTTTCCTCGTCTTCGTGTTCGTGGAATACAGAAAAGGCCAGAATGCGATGATTCCGTTGCAGTTAGTCAAGCAACGCTTCCTCTGGAGTGGCTCTTTAGTCATGTTCTTTTCAGTCTCTACTTCATTCTGCGCTTCGTACTATCTTCCAATCTACTTCCAAGCTGTCAAAGAAGCGTCTCCGAGTCTGAGTGGGGTGTATTTACTTCCAACAATTATCAGCCAGGTTATATTTGTCGTCTTGTCTGGGACTATGTGTAAGTGCATGCACTACATGTTGCTCTTGCACATACTTCTATTCCGATAAGAAATATTAATAGATTCGTAGTACAGAGACTTGGCTACTATCTTCCATTTAGTGTCGCTGGTGCAGTTCTGACAGCCATTGGAAGCGGTTTGATTTCTACCTACACTCCTCACACGTCAACGGGTCAGTGGATTGGATATCAAGTTATCCTTGGAGCAGGTCGTGGTTTCATCATGCAGATGGTCTGTAACTTCTCATCTCCTATCCATACACTTGTACCATCAGGTGATATACATGCTTGAAGAAAATCATCATCGTCCTCAGCTCACAGTTAATCATTCAACAGCCAATCATAGCTATTCAAGCTCTCCTGCCACGCTCACAGATCGCTATTGCCACTGCGTTTCTCATTGTTGGTCATACGTTCGGTGGCGCGATATCTCTGAGCATCGCGCAAACGATTTTTAGCAATACATTGAAGAACAAAGTTCCAGAGTATGCGCCTGGGGTTGACAAGTCGGCTGTAATTGCTGCTGGCGCGACGGCAATTCGAACCGTTGTCTCTTCTGACAAACTAGCGGGAGTACTACGAGCTTACTCATCCGCGGTTAATGGTGTGTTCTATTACACTGCTGCATCAGCAGTGTGTAGCTTCTTTGCCTGCTGGGGTCTAGGATGGAAAAGCATTCGTAAAGATGATCTCGTCAAATCTGCAGCCTGATTACTTTCTTTTGGGAGAG